ATTTTAACTGCTTATTATCTGTTGCCCTTACTGATTTTTCTCTTTGTTCCCCTGTTTTCCACATTCTTATGCCTTTTCTGGCTTTAATGGAGCATGCTATGATTCTAAATTCTCCTTCTCGCTTTATCAGCATATCAGTTAGACTTAATTTTAATTTTTTAAAGTTTGTATTTGAGTTTTCAATATACATTTGCAACTAATCTACATTAATTTGCTGATAGTTCTGTACCACTTTTGGGGTAGTATAAGTACTCTCAATCCCTCTTATAAAAGTACTTATAAAAGTACTCTCAATTCCTCTATCACATCCCTTATATAATTGCTGTCATTTATTTAACTTACTTGTCATATGTAATCAGCCAATACACTGTTGTTATTATTACTAACAGACTATTATGTGTTCAATTAATTAAAAATAACAAATATTACTTAATACCTTATACTTAATACTGTATTTCTTCTTTAGTGCTCTTCCTTTCTTCATATATATAAAAATTTTCAACCTAAATGATTTTCCTTCTCTCTGATGGATGACCTTTCAACATTTCTAGCAAGGTAAGTCTGCTGCTATAATTTTAAATTCCTTCAATTTTTGTTTGAGAAAAATCATTTCTCTTTTACTTTTAAAGAGAAATTTATCTGGATACAGAACTCTAGTTTCTTTTAATCCTCTAAACATTTCATAATTTCTTCTTTTTTTTTTTTGATGCTTTGTTCACTTTATTAGATAGTCCCCCAAATTTGGAGTGCATAGTCACTATTTTTTCCTCTAACATGTTAAGTTTTACTTTTTAAATTTTTTTATTTATTTTTTATTTTTATATAACAGCAGAATGCATTATAATTCTTATTACACATATAGAGCACAATTTTTCATATCTCTGTTTGTATACATAATATATTAAAACCAATTCATATCTTCATACCTGTACTTTGGATAATAATGATCATCACATTCCATCATCATTAATAACCCCACGCACCCTCCCTTCCCCTCCAACCTCTCGGCCCTATCTAGAGTTCCTCTATTCCTTCCATGCTCCCTATCCCTATCCCACTATGAATCAGCCTCCTTATATCAAAGAAAACATTTGGCATTTGTTTTTTGGGGATTGGCTAACTTCACTTAGCATTACCTTCTCTAACTACATCCATTTACCTGAAAATTCCATGATTTTATTCTCTTTTATTGCTGAGTAATATTCCATTGTGTATATGTGCCACATGTTCATCAAACAAACTCTTCTCAAGTTTAAGAGTCAAATAAACCTTTGGTTTTGACTTTCTATAATTTGAATATGATATGAGTAACTCTAGTTTTTGGCATTTATCCTACTTAGTTTTTTCTTAACTTCTTTTGTTTATGGACACAACACCTTTTATTTTATTTTATTTATTTTTATGCGGTGCTGAGGATTGAACCCAGTGCCATACACGTGCTAGACAAGCACTCTACCACTGAGCCACAACCGCAGCCCTTCTCTGAACTTCTTGAGTCTATGTTTTGGTGTCTCTCATTAATTTTGGAAAAATCTCAGTCACTGGAATTTAAACCATTTTTTTTTGGTCTTCTCTTTTCCTTCTTATATTCACATTATATTCACAATACACCTGCCATATTTTTTAAATATTGTGTTGTATTGGCTTTTTATTTCACTATTTTTTTCTCTTTGTTTTTCAGTTTGAGAAGTTTCTATTGATATAACTTGAAGCTCACTGATTGTGTGTGTATGCATATGTGCGTATGTATTACTGGGACTTTCATGCAGGGATAGGGTGCTTTACTACTCAGCCACAATCTCAGCCCTTCGTATTCTTCTATCTATCTATTTATTTATTTTTGAGATAAGTTGCCCACACTGGCCTTGAACTTGTAGTCCTCCTGCCTCACTGTTCTGAGTAGCTGGAATTACAGGCATGTCCACCATTGCCGCAGTCTGGCTGGGCACAATTCATGAGCCACTTATCAAGCAGAAATGAACTTTATTTTTAGAACACACACACAGCACCACACGAGCTCTTCAGGAATTCCCTCAGAGCCCAACTGCCACCACCGGCTTCCTAGGAGCGTCTCAACCCCCCACTCCTCCTGCTCTTGAGGCCCATTGGCTGGGTGGCATGGGTGGAGCCAAAAGAGTCCCCCAATGAGCAGCTCCGTGGTCTGAAAGGGCAGGGAAACAGCCCAATGAGCATCACCGCAGCGGAGCCAATCGGCTGGCAGCTGGAAGTTTGCTGGGGCCACGGTGAGCCAATCAGCTGGAAGTTTGTTGGGGCCCCTTCGGCTGTGGCTCTCAACACACCATGAGTGGCTCAAGGTCACTGATTCTTTCCTTGGTATTCTATAAAAAGTATTCTTAATTTTGTTGCAGCGTTTTTCTTTTTTATTTCTAACAATTCTTTTTTATTAAATTTCTACATCTGACCTTAAATTTTCCGTTTTCTTGTAAAATATCCACTTTTTCCATTCTCTTAGTATATTTATCAGTTCTTTTAAGGTCCCAGTCTGGTAATTTTAAATATCTCCTATATCTGAATTTGGTCATGATGTTTGTTCTGTCCCTTCAGACTATATTGTTTGCCTTTTATCAGGCCTCATAACTGTTTTATTTTAATCCCAAAATGATGCATCAGGTAAGTGAGGCTAAAGTTAATAGGCCGTTCCTTATAAGTATTACTTTGAACCAGTTGGGAGTTAGGCTGTCTGAAATATTTGACTTGTAGTATTAGATGCCAAACTTTCCTCTAGCATTTTACTTCTGTATATCCTCCTTTTTTGTTGTTCTCTCTGGGAAATTCATCTTAAATAGGGTTCTATGGCTTTCAGTCCTTAACAGCTATAATAAACTCAAATTATCCAAGCCCCCTATCATACTGGTGGTAAAATGTGAAAAGCAGAAGCATTCAACATTCTCTGATTAGATGTCAGACCCTTCATGGCTTGGATCTTAGGGCTGTGGTTTTCACAAGTGTTTTACAGCTTCCCCCTCACCTTAGGAAAGACAAGAAATCTCAAGGGTGCTGGAGTTGTATTTTTCACTTCCTCCACATCAAAGGTTATAGGGTGTGGAGTTTTAGTATATTTTTTCCTCAATGTTAATTAGGTTATGTTAAAACCAAGTTATTTATGGTGACATAGTTTGCTTTGAGGGTAAGCTTTTCTTAAAAGAATGGATCAACCAGGGCATGTTTAAAAATATTATTTTTTTAGCTGGGCATGGTGGTGCATGCCTGTTATCCCAGTGGCTCAGGTGGCTGGGGCAGGAGGATCACAGGTTCAAAGCTAGTCTTTTCAATTTAGCAAGACTGTAAGCAACATAGTGAGATCCTGTCTCAAAATAAAAAATAGAAAAAGGGTTGAGGATGTGGCTCACTTGTTAAGTTCCCGTGGGTTTTATCCTTGGTACTAAAAACTGGAAAAAACAATACTTTTCCCTTCAACCTGCAACAAGCATAAAAGAAATTGTCTCATATATTAACACTGAGAACCTGCTAGGATTCCTAGAGATAAAATTCATGAAAGTATAGTAGTCAAGTAAGATGGCCCCCTGGAAAATTTTTATCAAGCTAGGCCCACAGTAATTCTCCTATATTAATCAATTATCCTTTAAATGTGGTACCAGGGTCCAACTGTGGCTTCTGTTATCCATAACATGTGGCTCTCTGTCTTCACCTTTTTCTCTAGTTTTTGGAATAGTGGTGCCCTGTGATCACAATCTTTAATGGATCAAAAAATGTTGGTGCCTTTTTTTCCTTGTTACAAAAAGAGGAATAGGGCTGGGGTTGTGGATTAGGAATGTGGCTAGCATGTGTGGGGCACTGGGTTCGCTTCTCAGCACCACTTATAAATAAATGAATAAATAAAGGTCCATCAACAACTAAAAATATTTTTTAAAAAGAGGAATAATATCTTTCAAGGTTCTTTACAGAATCCAGAAGCCTCTCAGTCACTTTCCTGTATGGCATAAGTCTAACTAAAGTAGTCTTTATTTTACTTCTCATAAGGTACTATTCATTTTATTTGACTTTAGATAATGAACAACTTTATATGGATATTTCCCCTTAAGCTTATAACATCTTTAAAGTAAGACATTTAATTAATCTCCTCAATATTTTGGACATCATATTACAATATTCCAGAATTTCTCTGTTGCATAATGCTAGGTTTTACTGAGGAAATAAAAAGCTTAGGTAAAGTAGTAATGGAATTCCTCTCCTGGACTTCTTGTTAACTAAGTAATATATACAAGACCTGTTTTGCTTTGGAAAGATTTCTGAGTCATTTAAGTCCCTAAAAAGGGCAATTAAACTTGAATTTGTATAAACTGGCTGTAGTTAAACTACTGAGTAATAATAATGTTAATATTTTATACAGTGCTTGATGTTATGTAATTCAGTACTAATAACTTTTCCTTTATCATTTTCAGTCCTGGCAAAACTTAAGAGGATACAGTTTTATCTTTGTTGTTGTGGAAACCAAAATGCAGAAAACTTAGATTATTTCTCCAAAATCAGTGTTGTAGAATTCAGAAGGTGTGGAATTTAGTCATGTGTTGTTGTACATACCAGTAACCCCAGGTACTCTGGAGTCTGAGTCAGGAGCATTAAAAGCTTGAGGCCAGCCTGAAAAACTTAATGATAACCTTTCTCAATTTTTTTAAGGGTTGGAATTTAAAGTTGGTGGTAGAGTGCTTGCCTAATGTGTGTGAAGTCCTTAATTCAATTCCTAGTACCATACTCATGTGCATAAAAAAAAAAAACATGTTGAATTCAAACCCAAGTTTACTTGACTCTAGACAATATTCTTCACATGTATTATTACTGTGCTACCAGGTATCCACAGCTACCTCCACTCTATGTATCCCATACATTCAACTTAGTCCCTCTTTACCTCCCATTCTGTTTTCAAATTATTAAAGCTTATTGAAGTTAAACAGACTATGCTCTGCTAATACAATTGTATTTTCTCAACATAATCAGTTTGAGGAATATTGTATACATACTATTGGTTAGCAAGTGGTTCTGCTGCAGTGGATTAAGGGTAGGAGCACCCCCAAGGCCTGGCTGCCCAGCTAATGCTGCATGAGCAATTCCATGCTGAGGTCCAGGAGCAGCAAGAGGAGACTGCATCTTATCCTTATCCCAGGAGGATTCACTTCCACCTGAAAAAAAATGTCATATAAACAGTCATTTGATAGTTTTCTATGAGAATATTTTTAATTACTTTTTATAATGAAAATAATTAATGCCATTTCATAGAAAATTATTATTAAACATGGTAATTCATTCTATGACAGTTTAAAAAAAACTTTCAAAAATCTAAGGATATAAGCTACCTCTGGGAAAAACTAAGCCATTTTTACTAATACCATAGGACCACTTTCCTTAATGGTTCTCTCAACAAACTTGAAATAATAATTAATAGCTTTTGGAAGCACTTATATATTGAAGATTATTAAAACACACCATTCCCTTTCCATTCCAAGCCTCTAAAATATGTATGCTATATTTTAAAGAAGAACAGTTTCTGTTCACTAAAAAAGAACACACTAATTTGTAAGAGTATGATAACATATAAAATATACAGAGTAGGAAACAAACTTACCACTTATTTTTGGTTCAGCCCTCAAGCAACGTTTTCATACATAGCAAGATTATATACAAAATAGGCTGGATAAAACATGAAACCATGGCTTCCAATTTGAAATTATACTTTGATCACCACACTAGAGAGTGTAGTGAAATGCACACTAGTGCAGACTTCTATATTGTCGTGATCCATAGTGGCATAGCTATTTAATCTGGTACTGAACATACTTTGGGAACAGAGTCATTGCCTAAAATGATAAGGGAAGGAACCATAGATTTCCAGGGCTTTCTTTTAAGAAAAATTGAAACAGAGAAATAGAGAGTTAGATTTTAATCCGATTTCATAACCCACTTGAATCTAATGTATGAAATATGATATGTCAAGAGCTTTGTAATGTTTTGAACAACCAATAAAAAAGAAAGAAAATCAGTTATTAAAAAAAAAGATTTTAATCCGTACAAAAGATAATATTCTGACTTTGGGAAACAAGATGTTGTATAGCAGCTCAACCTATTTGCTTGATATGTTTCATTCATTCAGGGTTCAATGGCTCTGCCCCCATAACCCTACTGGGATTGTGATATTAGCAACTCTACTTGAATGATACTGTCCCATATGCTAACTGAAACTATGACCTTGTTATATATGGAGATCAGACCTGGAGCTTTTGGGCCCTCTACAAAATGTTTGCATTTACAGGTTTAAAAATAAAGAATAAATTGACATATTTTCAACACATTGAACATTGTAATTATTTTCACTTTAGCTCCCTCCCAGATTCTGTTCATATGGATACTCATTTTTACATAGTAAACACTCTGCTATAATAACTTTATGTATCATATTTACAGAGGGCAAAGGCTACACTGTATTATGCTGAGTTATTTAATTATAATTTTTAAACAATATACTTTTCTCTCAGATTTATCACTAGAATAAATCACATTATAACAAAAATATTGAGTTATTTCATTAGAATAAATTAATTAGCTGGAGTGACATTTCTGGTTCCAAAATGACAGATATATTTATACTACATTTATATAAACTGTCTTTAAAGTGTAAACTTTCCAGGGAAATGCTTTCAGGACCAAATGTTATTTCCCCTAGATATTTAAAATTGAGGGCTAGGGTTGTAGCTCAGTGGTAGAGCATGTTCCTAGCACATGTGAGATACTGGGTTGGATTATCAGCGCCATAAAGAAGGAAGGAAGGAAGGAAGGAAAGAAAGAAAGAAAGAAAGGTGTTGTGTCCATTTTCTCCCTTCATTTAATAAAAGATTTAAAGTGTATTCAAGGGGGCTGGGGATGTGGCTCAAGCGGTAGCATGCTTGCCTGGCATGCGTTCGGCCTGGGTTCGATCCTCAGCACCACATACAAACAAAGATGTTGTGTCCGCCGAAAACTAAAAAAATATAAATATTAAAAAAAATAAAATAAAATTTATTTAAGCAAATGCCCTGCTAGAAACTCTGCCAGGATTTCCTTTTTTCTTTCAAATATGCATTTTTAAAAACTTTATTTTATTTATCTATTCATGTGGTGCCAAGGATTGAACCCAGTGCCCCACATGTGGTAGGCAAGTGCTCTGCCATTGAGCCACAATCCCAGACCTCTGCCAGGATTTCTTAAACGTTCTATCCATTCATCAACCATTCTTACCCCAGGTGTGGGGATCTTCATCCTCCTCAGAACTCTTTCAGGCTGATTCACAGGCAAAGTTAACCTTTAATCAATTCAAAAGTGGGGGATCTTAACCAGTATTTAACAAGATGAGCTAAGGAAACACCATATTTTTTAGCAATACATGTAAAGACTGAGGGATACCTGGTCCTATGTATATAGACAATCTTTTCCAGTCAAACTGGGAAGAAACAAGTAGCTAATTATTTAATTCCTGTGATGAACATTCAGTTGACCTGAATGGAAACTTGTAAGATGGGAAATTTGTTTAAATTTGATAGACTTAAAGAATCCAAAATAAATTTCTTGAAGGTGTGGAGGTTTTGAATGTTTATTGAGACCCTGTGAAACTTCTAAGATTATACCAACTGTTTTCTCTCTTCATCCTTATGTTTGATATTATAGAGTAACTGCCACAAAGCAGGGAAGTAATTTATGGTTTGGTGCATTTACATAGTTTCCCATTGACAAACTTGAAATTCTAATTAAAATCAATAAGACAGTGTTATGCTGCAACAAAGAAGGATGGTTGGGAAAGAGGAATATCAATAAACAATGAATGTAACTACAATGAAACACAGAAATTTGTTTTTAGTTACAATGGTATGATAAACATGATTAAAATCAGCAAATACAAAAATTTGAAAGAATAATTGCTAAGCAAAAAATTGAACCACTCCATCATTTTTGCATTTTGTTCAGTATACAAATTATCTATTGCAGAACTGCAATTTGTAAAGTGATGAGTAAAACATTGACAAAGCAATATTAATTTAGAAGATACTAAATCATAATGTATGTTATTAATGTGGTATTAAACTGTCACAACAGCAATGGCATGCTGCAACCTCAGGGCTGAGACAATGTCAATATTGATTTTATAAACTAGAAACATTTTAGTGCACATTCAACACATATGGTACACTAGGCATTAGTCTAATGTTTTATACCTCATATATCCCAAATTAACTTGAATAGAAATGTTTTCTAAAACATCATGAAAAGATCCCAAAATGTTTTTGTGTTTTCTTTGATAAGAAATTTGGATGAACTTTTTCTGATATTTCATCATTGTTAACTACTGTTTTAATGATAGAATGAAGGTGATTTCCAGCTGTTTCCATCTATACTAAGTATGGATATAAGATAGTTTTGCACTCTGTAGTAAGCAACTGACAAGTGTGGGGGTGTTCTTAATGTTTAGATTAGGTTGTATTAATGTTCTGGACATATTCTGGGCTCCTGACCTAAAATTGTTTACCATTATTAAGTGTATACAATTTGACCTGTGACAAAATTTGGAATTCTCTGGTGGCCCCAAACATAACATCGTATCTTTGTCAGGTTGAAAGACAATATTAACTGCCTTTACAGGTAACCATGTACTTTTACTAATCTAATCTACGGGTCTTTTTTTAAACCACTAAGTAGAAGTCTTAGGTATCCACCTTACTTTATCTAGGTACTGTGTACCTACGTATGTATCTATCTATCTCCATATTATTTTTTAATTTGCTTTAATTAATCATACATGACAGTAGAATACATTTTGACAGATCATACATAAATGGACTACAACTTCTCACTTTTCTGGTTGTACATGATGTAGAATCACACCAGTTGTGTAATCATATATGCACATAGTGTAACAATATCTAATTCATTCTACTGTCATTCCTACCCCCATATCCCCTCCTCTCCCTATACTCCCCTCTGTCTAAACACAAGTACATTTATTCTTCTCTAGCCCCCAATTCCCTTATTGTGAATTAGCATAAACATATCAGAGAAAACATTTGGCCTTTGGGTTTTGGGGATGGGCTTATTTCACCACATGATATTCTCCAGCTCCATCCATTTACCTGCAAACGCCATAATTTCATTCTTCTTTAAGGCTAAGTAATATTCCATTGTGTATATATACCACATTTTCTTTATTCATTCATCTGTTGAAGGATATCTAGGTTGGTTCCATAGCCTGGGCATTGTGAATTGAGCTGCTATAAATATTGATGTGACTGTGTCACTGTAGTATGCTAATTTTAAGTCCTTTGGGTATAAATCGAAGAGTGGTATAACTGGATCAAATAATGCTTCCATTCCAAAGTTTCTGATGAATCTCAATACTACTTTCCATAATGGTTACACCAATCTGCTCTCCCACCAGAAATGTTTGATTGTACTTTTTCTCCCACATCCTCACCATCACTTATTATTGCTTGTGTTCTTGATAATTGCCATTCTGACTGGAGTGAGATGAAATCTTTCCATATGTAGCAAAATGAAATTTCACACCTTGCTCTCACTCTACACAAAACTTAACTTAAGGTGAATCAAAGATTTAGGCACTACAACAGAGACCTTGTGCCTAATAGAAGAAAAAGTAGGCCCATCTCTCCATCATGTCAGATTAGGAATGGGCTTCCTTAACAAGACTCCAACCTAGATGCCCTTCAGTGGATGAATGGATAAAAAAATGTGGTATATATACACAATGGAATTTTACTCAGCAATAAAAGAAAAAAAACATGGCATTTGCAGGTAAATGAATGGCATTGGAGAAGATAATGCTAAGTGAAGTTAGCCAATCACCCTCCCCAAAACAAATGCCAAATGTTTTCTCTGATATAAGGAGGCTGACTCCTAGTGGGGTATGGAGGTAGAGCATGGGAGGAATAGATGAATTTCTTAAAGGGAAGAGGGGTGGGAGGGAAAGGGATGGGGCAGGGGATTAGCAAGGATGGTGGAATGTGATATCATTATACAAACTACATGTATGACACTCGAATTGGGTGTCAACATACTTTATATACAGAGATATGAAAAATTGTGGTATATATGTGTAATAAGAATTGTAATGCAAAAAAGTACATGTATAAAGACATGAATT